TTCAAAAGATTTTTAAACTCCTTAAATGTACACGGATCACCGCAAATAGGTATTAAGACTTCTTTTCCTTCTTCATTGTCCCAATGGTCGTAAAAGAACATCTATAATAGAGTTTAAGTTATTGATAAGTAYTAAGTATACATATACAGCTGCAGATTAGGTTAGGTTATTGCTACTATATGTATATATATAGTATTGTATAAGACATAGGTTAGTATAATTTATAATTAGTATATATGGATCATACTTTGATAGTGTGTTCATTGTTTATTTCGTCGTGATACAAATGGAAATGCAACGAACCACCAAAATCAGGTAATTTAATAGTGTTTCCTAGAAAGCTCATTGCCGTTTTTATACTGATATCGTGTCCCGAATAAAGATGCATTTTTCTTGATGTATTATCATTATTTGAACTAGATTGCATGATCAAACCAATTTCATTTAACAAAGGTCCTTCAATACATTTTAAACAAATAGACAAATTATTATTTCGAGCTTAAAAATGAATTATGTCAATACCTACGTGGAACATAATTCCTTAAAAAATTTTAATCGGAAAGGTTTAAATTTTCAAGTTGTTTTTATTAGCTTACAGTCAGAGACAATAATTAGGTATAGCTCGACAATTAAATAATTTACATAATAAAATATAACATTTTACATTAGATAATTCTTTAAATAAACTTACATTGTAACAAGAATGATAAGATAATGATTTGCATATGAACAACATTACAAATATCAAAAATGTTCAAGTTCTACTTTTTAAGAATAAGAAACCTCCACCGCAGATCACGATTATATTTAAAAAAAAATCCATTAATATTTTATAAATTGTATACAATGATTAGAAACCTATCACTTTAAGATACTAAATTTATGATGATGAAGTGGGGTAGAGTATTAGTTATTACAAAAATACAAACGACGATTAGAAGTAAGTAATAATTCTATAAAATAAAATAAACTAATCTATCATAGGTACCTACTATTTACAAGAATACAAATTAAAACTAAAAATAGGTAACAATAACAAATTATGAATCCTAATGTAATTCTTTAAACAATCAATTGGAAATACTAGATTTAATACAAATCATCGCCGGCCTTTCAGAATTGGGCCACCACGTGTCCACGTCACTAACATAGATACACAACGTTAAGTGATTAACGGACAAAACTTTTCTTTGTTGATACCCAAAAATCTACCAATAATTCGGATGTATTCAAGATTGAGTTTCTTCTCAACTCAAATATTATTGTTGAAAAGCCACATTYACCATTCAAAAGCCCTTTATAGTGCTGTACATGCCAGTCTTACGGTCATACTCAAAAATATTGTTATCATGATCTAAGTTGTGTAAAATGTGGAGAAAATCACGTCTCAAATTCCTACCAAGCCACGTGACTCTCCAG